AGTTCACTCAGCACCAGTGACGCCTTCTCATTGTGGACAGAGCTTCAAGTTGTTTTCTAAAGCCTTAACTTTTCATTTATTTGTGGTTCTGGGTCTATGGCAGACATTCAGAAACAGTCCTTAAATGCTGTGCTCAGATCACGAGGTGCCAGCAATCTGTGCAGAGACGGGTTGCTCAATGCAGAGCCACGTACCTAGCCCAGAAAAGCTCGTGTTCAGTTTTCCCTTTCCCTCAGTCACTTTGGAGCTCCCAAAATAGAGGATGTGATGTGGAGGGGCGTTAGCGCCCGAGAGCCTCTGTAGTGGATTGAACCTCTTGAAAGTTGTTTCCTCGCTACAGGGCTTTCCTTGTAGAAGATGATGAGGTGGTACTGTAACAAATGATTCCCATCTAACTTTGCTTTGCTTTGCCAGGTTCATCGGGGGATAAAGGGAATTGTGTCTGATAAGTTTGGCAACCCAATAAAAAATGCTCGCATTTCAGTCAGGGGCATCCAGCATGATGTCACCACAGGTAATATTTTTTTGTTTGAGTTTTTTCTTGGGGCAGGGTGAAAGCACTGAGAGCTTGACCTGCCAAAGTCTTGTCGTATTTGATAGAAATAGCACCTTAGTGGAGAAGTGAAGACTCAGCTGTGAGTTTGTTTCTAGAATAACAAAAAAGAAGACATGTTAAACTGGCTGTTGCGTCTATTGTGTCTCTGGGATAACGCAGTCCTTGCTCTTAAAACTTTCACCTAGAACTGTCTGCTGTCCATCTAAGCCAATGTGTCTTCAATGAGATTCAGAAATCCACCTTTATGTTTCATGTTTGGGGGAATATGGCAATTGTCCTGCTCAGGGACTGCAACTCAGCATGTGGAGGTGCGGAGCCTTGACAGAATAAGTTAGTTGAAATATTGTGAGCATGAGGTGTAGATGTTAAAGTAGGATCCACACTGACTTTAACAACTGAAATAACTGCAGTGACTGAAGGGCCTATAACCTTTTTTTGTTCATGCATAAATAGATGCAATTTTTGGTCAATAGTTATATCAAATACAAAAAAAAACCCTAGAACGTTGAATTATGTTCACTTTATACCTGTCGCCAGCTGGTAAACATGTACTGAGACATATGCAACTGTTAATTTTCACAGTCATAAAGTTCTGAGCTTTTAGGCTCTCACTGAAATCAATGCTCTCATTTTATTATTGATTTCAGTGAGAACAGGGTAGGCCATAGGAGTGCAAAATAGAAGACATGAATGGTAACATTTTGCTCTAATGATAGTTGTTGAATCAATTTGGAAAGCCAAATGGTTTATAATGTAGTGGATGCTTTCCAGCTTTCAAAAAAAACTATCATTAAAGGGGATACAATAGTGGAGATGGTGCAGATTCTTGAGGCTGGTGGGATACTCTGGCATGAATTAGGGTCTTTTTCCAACTTCTTCACAGACAATGGCTTTCCATTGGCAGTGAACCTCTAAAGAATTAAGAATTAAATAAAAAATATGTTTACATTTGAAGGAAAAGGAGTATTTGTTCTTGAGTTAGGTGGGGTTAAGGATGTCATATGGTTAAAATGTCTTTTAATTTCAATGGTAAAAAAAAGACCAAGGAATTACATGAGAAAATAGCATTAATGCAATATTAACTGAGTTGAGAAACTTATCATTCAAAATAAAGGAAACATAAAATGCAGAATAAATATTCTGTTTTAAAACTGCCTGCTTTTGCCTGCAGGCTCTAACCTTCAGCTGGAGGAAATTTACACCCGTTTTACACTAATGGCAATTTATACCAGCTGCAGCTCCGACTCCATAGTCTTACGTGCTATAATGTCTGCAAAGTAATTGAATGTAATACAATAAAAGCAGGGATTTCTTAGCTCCTTAGACATTATATATATATTGCAGCCTGGATTCTGCTTTCACTTTCATTTGATTTCTTTGGAGTTATTCCTTGTACCCCTGGGAAAGCAGCATGAAGGGAATCTTCCCTTCCCTGTGATACAGGCACAGCAGTTACTCACATTTTGTAGGTGATTTTTACTCCATTAGCTCCCAAAGGCCAGAATTTCACAGGTGGTGCCTCTTTTTGTTGTTCAACTGTTTGCATCTAAATTTTTTTCAAATTCTGAGCTGCCCCGACTCCGAGATCCTTTGAAAACCTGCCCCATAAATGCTTGTGCATACATGTGTATGTGAGTACGTAACTATAAAGGATGCAAAACTAAAATCTAAGCTCAGTTTTGTTGTCCCTTTACCTTTCCTAAGCTGCTGATGGAGACTACTGGCGACTCCTTCCTCCGGGGACGTACATAATCAGCGCCCAAGCAGCAGGATATAGCCGGGTGATGAAGAGGGTCACTCTTCCTACCAAGATGAAACGAGCTGGGCGAGTCGACTTTGTATTACGACCTGTTGAGGCTTGGCCCAACAAGCTCCTCCGCCGGTCGATGGAAGACATGTACGACCCATATGACCCGCTGGAACTTTTTGACCCTCATGCCCAACACAGGCAGCCCGAGGCTCGAGGGGGGTCACCGCCGGGCAGGGACAAGCCATGGTGGTGGTCTTACTTCAGCTCTCTAGACCTGCACAAACCTCTGTGGCTGCTCAAGCAGCACTGAACGGCGTCACGGTGCTCTGCACACCTGTCTCTGCTGCCCTTCCACCCGACTCCAGATGCCCTCACTGCTCTTGGCAATATTTAAATCTTTCATTTGAAAATACAAAGTTAATTCAAGTGCGCTTACTTCTTTTGTTTTGTCTGCACACACAACTGAGTATGTTCAAGTGTTTTTATATATTAAAAACCATGGTGCACTCCCATTCAAAGGCCAGGTTTTACGTAGTTTTTTTCTTGGTAATGCTGTGTACTTCTGCCCATGTAGTTAATCATCACATTCATTATTTATTAGGTTCTAAGTACCTGCAGGAAAATATTCCTGATCCTTTAATGTATTTTGGTACATGTCTTAACACATTAGTGACTATATACTAAAAACAACTTTCAGAAAACTCTTTTCTTTCCTCTTTTTACATTATTTTAGCACATTAAGTTCAGTTCATTAACTCTTCTTCTACAGCTCACAATTTTATTTTCTTTTAAATCCATTATGTGATATTAGCATTGATTTTTGGACAGAAAAAGAAAACCATTAGGAATTTGGAAAAAAATCTGCATCTGAATAAGTAATGTGTTTTGTAGGGTGGGCTGCTCATAGGCAGATCAGTATCAATAATAACATATTTTCCCAAGTAAATATTCAGAAGTTATCATTTGAAAACATACATATTAAAAGTGTTAAATCTTTACCACATTCCTCCTTTGAAATATTTTGCACCATGAGTAGGCCCATCAAATCAAGAAAAATGCTTGGAAAGTAAAATCTGTTCCAAGGAGTCCAAATGGCCAGTCTTTATGATGTTCAAATGTTAATATAATTTGAACAGTTTTTTAATCTGTTAAGTAAATACATTTTTAATCTATTTCAGCAAAATCCTGAAAACTACTTTTACTGCTCGAAATACACACATTCTATGACATAGAAAAATACATGAGATAATTCGTGAGGATTTTAGGTTAAACTGCAACATATTACACAAAGGTTGTTAATATCATGCACTGTTTTGAGTCTATGAACTTGTTAATGAAACTTGTAGACACCAAAGAAATCACAAACTTCTTTTCCAGATAGTTGGGTAAAGCCAGGTGAATAGTGATCTTGCAAGATGCTGTTCTCTCTCAGACATCAGATGTTATGTTTTTTAAGGATGATCCAAAAACATATCCTTAATTTTGATGAAACATATAGGCTCACACTTCCTTCCGGCTTGAACTGGTTAATGAACTCAGTATTTCCTCATCTAAATGCCGCAGTGTGTGAACAGGGTGATTGTTTGGAGCTGATGTACTTACTGCAGAACCTGCTGGATTAGCTGTCTGGATTGCCCTTTGATTTCTAAAAACTTAGGTGAAGAAGCCCACATTGCACGAATCCTATAGTCCATATGCACATATCTCATACTATAATTGCCTAAGAAGACCCAAGAGATGATCTTAATTCTACAGCCAGATGCTGCACATGCCTAAATACCTTATTCCCAGTTGTAATCTGATTGAAGTTAGGAGTCTGTGATTCATGTGCTTGAATGTCTGCAGGTCTGGAGACTGTGTAAAAATGAAAGAAAACAATTTCATAGCATTAACAGAAAGTAATTATATGGGAGTGAATGTACTACATGCACTTGGATAAGTGTTCCTTGCCCAGGCTTGATCAGTTAAAGAAACCCTGAATCCTAAATATGCCAAAGATAAGTGAGCAAGAGATACACCTCCAGACATTATTTCCAGTAACAGATATTGCCATTTTTTTCAGTGGTCATTTTTTCAAAGCCATCATCCTGTGAAAACAGTGGTAAAGCTAATAAAATCAGAACAATATGCCAAATTGCTGGCTATTAGCTGCTCTTTTTATGCACATAATGTCTTGCACACTTAGAAAGATGCGTCCTATAAGTATTTCCTAGATTCTCACAGGGCTATTTAGAATTTTTTCAAGTAATCCTAGTAAACTCAAGCCAGCTGAAATGCAAAACAGAATGACTGTGCACAAAATCCACTTCTTTCCTGAGTCTCATGTTGAAATAGCAGATGGCAGTCAAGACTGGGGAAAGATGACTTTCTGGGAAGATAGTAAAGATGTGTTAAGTTTGAGAGAGTTTGAAAAACTAGTATTCTATACTACTATACCACTAATGTGAAATCAGTATGATAGAGCAAGAGTAACTTTCCTTTGTCTCTCTACCTCATCCGCAAAGTGCCCAGCAGAGAGAAAGTTAAGATCAGACTTGTCCTAGTTCACATGCAACAGCCTGTATAGATGGGATGTATTAAAGTACATTGAAGCAACTATGAGGCTCTTGGGAAAAGTTATGCCTCAGTCTTCTAGAACTACTTTATTTTTTTGTAAGATAGAATCTTCAGTTTTCGGTTCCTTGGAGATGGAAAAGACTGCCAGAATTTCCTGGGTGGTTCTCAAAAATCCATTTGAGTTTAGATTAGATTTCAGACATCTGTATCAGTGATAAATAAATAAATAAATAATCAAAGAAAGAATGAGAGAGAATGAGAGAGAACGAGAGAGAGAGACAAAAGAAAGAAAGAAAGAAAGAGAAGAAATTGGTAAAAAACAGCCAAATAACAATGGAACCAAAATTAGTATCACCCTTCCGTTTTTATTTGAGATAATACATACAGATTCAGTTCTACATTTATGTGGGTGAGAAAGTATTAGATTGAACTGGTATCCTGGACTGGATTACATAAATCTTCTTCAATATTTATGTCAATCAAGAAATGTGTGTTTAATACCAGATAGTTCTGTTAAAAAAAAAAAAAATCCAACACAACCCACCCCACAACTATAATATGGTTAAAAGGATTGTAAGTGGTGATGAAATATAAGCAGCTGTAGACAGCTCTGTAATTGATACATGAAAATGAACACAGTGATCAGCTCTCTCATGCACATCTCTGGAAGATGCTCATGTGCAGAGTTTAATGGAACACAAAGTTAGGAGCATATTAAATACTTTCTGAATAGGAAGAGGGATTGAAATGCTTTGGTGAAACGTGCCCTCCTACAGCTGAAGTATAAGTAACATAGGAAAGAAGTGAAAACCATCCAAAGTTCCCTAGCTGTCTTCCTCATGCTTAAACCCTGCCTTACAGACTGGGCTTGGCCTTTTCCCAGTGCTGCTTTGGAGCGTGACAGGTTCAG